AGCCCTTTAATCAACAGTTTCATTTCAGTAATTAAAATATGCCTCCAGTGTAACATCAGCACCCCAAACTCCTTTAAACTTACCAAGGCCTCTCTCTTCAACCAATAGAGAGGAAGTTTGGGGAGGAGGTGTGGTTGGCTTAGTGTCTCTTCCTTACTCTATCTCCTTCCCCAGATTGTCAGTCATCATGTTTGATTCTTTCAGGGTCAAACCCAAGGTAAGAGATTAGAATAAAAGAGCAAAGACATAGATATGGTTGTATGAGATGGGAGTGCCCTCTTGGGGGCAGACAGACAATTGGGCTTCCTCGACTGAGACAGGGCCTCTCACCCCATTTGAAGATTAACAGCTTTCCCCTGGCCACCCACTAGTCTATTGGGATCCCCTTGCCCCTCTAAGAAATCCTCTTTCATAGGAACCTTTTTAAAAAGGCCCCAAGACCAGCTCCCTTCTGTGTGATCACTGGATTCCTAGAAAAAACGTACTTGTCTGCAACATCAGAGAAAGCACAGCTCCCTTCCAATGCAGCCTTTTCACTAGGTTATAAGGAGGAGGCAGCTACAAGCACAGACTCCATACTTGACACATTTCAGTATGAGTTCCTCAAACTCCAAGGGACACCCTGAAAGCTCTCAGAATGGTCTTGTTGAATCCCTTCTAATGTGGTTTCAGAGGAAATGCCACACCACTCCAATAATCTTTCAATGGTGAAAAGAGCTCTTCAAACCAAAATAAAAGGATGCTAATAGTAACCTGAAATTACATTACAATATAAAACACACTGGTAATGTATATAATCGAATTCAGAATACTCTAACACTGCAATATGGTATGTAACTCACTTGACTTGAGTATAAAGATTAATGGACTGAAGTATTAAAAATAATTATGGGAGCTCTATCAGTGAATAGAGCATTTAGCCTTTGCACTGAAGGGTCCCAGGTTCTAGTCCAGCCAAGGGCACATGCCTGGGTTGCAGGCTCAATCCCCAGTAGAGGGCATGTAGGAGGCAGCCAATCAATGATCCTCTCTCATGACTGATGTTTCTCTCTCTCTTTCTCCCTTCTTCTCTGAAATCAATAAAGAAATATATTTAAAAATAAATTAAAAAATAACTATGGGTACAGTAATTTGTTAATGGCTACATAAAATAGATGAAAAGTATAACATCAATGGGGGGAGAAGAAACAGGGTAGAGTGTTGTATATGATCAAAGTTAAGTTGCTATCAACTTAAAATAGACTATTATAATGTTTGGAACCTTGTTTGGAACTGGATTCAAACAAATGAATGAAAACATTTTTTAAAAAGAGCAAGTAAAAAGACAAGTTATCGACTAGGAAAAAAAATGTTTGCAAATCATATATACAGGATTTTTTGCTAGAATATATAAAGAACTCTTAAAACTCAGTAATAGGAAAACAGACACAAACAAAAAATTGGCAAAAGGTTTGGACACCTCACCAAAGATACATGGATGACAAGTAAGTTCATGAAAAGATGTTCAAAATCATCAGTCATAGGAATGTGAAAGGTAAAACTACAAGGATGATAGAGATGTGGAGCAACTGGAACTCTCATACACTGCTGATGAGAATGTAAAACTGCCAATCGCTGTGGAAAAGTTTGGCAGTTTCCCAAAACATTAAACATATACTTATCCTATGACCCATTCTATCCCTAGGTATTTACCCAAGAGAAATAAAAACATATGTCCATACAAAGACTTGTAGATGAATGCCCAATAGCAGCTTTATTTGTATCTATTAGCCCAATGCACAAATTCATGCACATTAAAAGGAAATTAATTAGAAGAAATATTTTAATGTCACTATACACCCTTTGCAATAAAAGTGTCAACTAAATTCACGATCAACAATGACAGATGGAAACACATGCATGCGATTGGTGCCAGTAAGAGCTTTATATGTATTGCTCATGTGTGAGTCAGCTTAGCCTTTTATAGATATGGAATAAACTTGCTTAATTAGACCTGCTTTCTGATTTAGCTAAACTTTTTCCAGCCCAGTCAAGCATCCTAACTTCTCTGTCAGATAATTGTCAGCAACACAGCAGTAAACATCAGCACAAAGCAGGCTGTAGATCATGCAGGGAGAACAAAGGGTAAAATATTTAACTGCAGCAGTGTTTGACTATATTCTGTGCAGTGAGAATACCTAGTCATTTTTAAGTTCCACCATTTCTTCTTTTCAGTCGTGTCAAGTTTCTAAGCTTTCTAAATGTCTGTTTTCCAGCTAATGAGAAGAAAATAAAATTCCACCAAGTCTTCTATCTACCTACTCCAGGACTTCTGTGGGGATCAAATGAGATGAGGCAAGGGAAAACACTTCACAGACAGACATTTGGTTAAAAAAAGTTTGCACCTGGCTATAAAGCAAGTCGTGTTCCTGTGCTAAAGAAACTGCAAGGAGACTAGTTGTTGCTACAGAGAGGAAGTCAGGTGTTGCTACATTAAGTCATTACCCAGACTGTGGGACACTTAGCATATTAGCCTTTTATATATATAGATAACCCCAAACCCAAAGCAACTCAAATGAATGAATATATATAGATAACCCCAAACCCAAAGCAACAAATGAATGAATAATCAAACTGTAGAATACTCATATAATGAAATATTATCCAGCAGCAAAAAAGGAATGAATTCTTGATAACCACAGATGAATCTCAAAATAGTTTATGTGAAAGAAGCCAGAACACCACCCTATACCCAAAGTACATCCTGTATGATTTTTTTTTTTAAATATAAAATTCACAGAAATGCAAACTAATGTATGGTGACAAAAACCAGACCAGTGCCTGAGGAAAGGGGCTGGGGAGGGTCTCTCATTGGGGGAGAGCCTAGACTGTTTGGTAGCAGGCGAAACTCTAGGGCTCCTTCCTCTCAGAGGTGCTTGCAGCAAGTACCAAAGCAGCAAGTACTGAAGGACCCTGAGAAACACTGAGACTCAGGAGCCTCATAGGGTGTGGCTGACGGAAGCCAAGGCTGTAGGCTCCATCCTGAAACTCCACCCCACCCAAACTGAGCACAGAGACTTTTAAGGCTACCAACTCAGGGAAGCTTTGAAAATGCTGAGTCAAGGAAACAGATCACAAACGAAAGAAATGGAGGACAAAAAGCGACTGGATAGAGTACAAAACCACACTTAAAAGGTTTTTCAAGAATTTCCTAGAAAAGGCCGATAAGACCTATGAGGATATGAAAAGGGATCAACTAGAAATAATAAGGGATCAACAAGAAATAATAAGGAATCAACAAGAAATAAAGAATACATTGTCTGAAATAAAAAATACTATACAGAGTCCTAAAAACAGAATGGAAGATCGCAAGAATCAAGTCAAAGATTTGGAACATACAGAGCCAGAAGACACTCCTCCGCAGAAGCAAGAAGACAAGAGAATCCAGAAAGTTGAAGATAATGTAAGAAACCTCTTGGACAACTTCAAGCGAACCAACATCAGAATTATGGGGGTCCCAGAAGATGAGAGAGAGCAAGATATCGAAAACATACTGAAAGAAATAGTGACAGAAAACTTCCCCCACCTGGTGAAAGAATCCAGGAAGCACACAAAACCCCAAACAAAAGGAATCCAAAGAAGACCACACCAAGACAAATCATAATTAAAATTCCAAGAGCAAAAGACAAAGAGAGAATATTAAAAGCAGCAAGAGCAAAGAAGGTAGTTAGCTATAAAGGAGCACCCAAATGATTGTCAGCTGATTTATCAACAGAAACCATGCAGGCCAGACGAAAATGGCAAGAAATATTCAAGGTGATGAATAGCAAGAACCTACAGCCAAAAATAATCTACCCAACAAAGCTATCACTCAGAATCGAAGGCCAGATAAAGAGCTTCCCTAATAAAATAAAAAATAAAAATAAAAAGCTAAAGGAGTTCATCACCGCCAAACCAGAATTATACGAATTGCTGAAGGGGGTTCTTTTGGAAGAGAAAGTAAATAAAGATAAAAACTATGAACAACAAATACGTAACTATCAACAAGTGAATCTAAAAACCAAGGGAATTTTAAAAAATCTGACGAACAATATTATCTGGTGAATATAATAGAATCAGAGGTATGGAAGAAGAGTGAACTGACGATTCTCAGGGAAAAGGGGAGTGGGGGGTGTGGGAAGAGACTGAACATAAACTGTGCACCTATGGATGAGGACAATGTGGGGTGGGGAAAGGGCAGAGGGTGGGGTGGGAACCTGGTGGAGGGGAGCAATGGAGGGGGGGGATGAGGAACATTTGTAATAATATGAACAATATTTATTTATTTATTTTAAAAAAGGAGTTACAAAAGAGCAGGAGGAACCTTTTTAAAGTGGTAAATGTTCACTATCTTGATTGAAATAGTTTCATGGTTATTTTCCTGTCAAAACGAAACAATTTTTTCCAATTTAAATAGTTCAGTTTACTTTATGTTGTTTATACCTCCATAAAGCTGTTTTTAAAATACAGTGAGTATTTAAAAAATTCATAAAGGGCAAGATCAGACAGGTGCTAAGGATCAGACAGTGGTGTAGCAACGACTAGTCTCTTTGCAGTTCTTCAGCACAGGAACATGACTTGCTTTATAGCCAGGTAACAAGTTGTATTAGCCAGACAAGGCCAGGTAGAGGTAAGACAGTGTAAGCTGAGTTAGGTGAGGCTGCTGGTGGCCCCGGAGAGGGGAGAACTGCTTGTCCTCTCGGGTAGGCTGAGGAGTGCAGGCTCGGGCACTGCATGACAATCTTTGGGGCAGGAGAACAACGCCTCAGAGAAGTTGGAGAGGCTTTTGACTGTGACGCCCTGGCAGCTTCTTCGTCCTCCTTTCTGCCCTGTTGTCAAACTGATCCCCAGCAGCCGGCTATTTCTATATTTGAGCCCTATGTTTTGTGTAGATGGAGTTGGGTGGTGTCCCACGTGCAAGCGGCGACCCTCAAACCACAGGGAAAAGTAAACCCTTACAGTCATCAATGGTGAGAAATTACCTCGCGGAGATCAGGCTGGGAAATGACGCAACCTGGAAATCCCCACCTCAAACTCCTGCAAAGGACACTCCCGTCTCCACTGTAGTCACCGCTCCGGCCAGCCACGCCCTCCGGTTCCGCCCCGCTTTTCCCTTCCTGTTGGGCTCCTCGGGGCGGGGCGGGGCGGGGAGGGGCGGAGTCCGCCGGGGCCCCGCCCACAGGGTGCCTTCTTGGCCCCGCCTCGCGCAGCCGCTCAGAGCCGCTTTCCGGCCGGAGAAGTGGGCGGGCCCCAGATATGCGGAAGGAGGCCGAGCTGAAGGGGCGTGGGGAAAAAAAAAAAAAAAAAAAAAGGTGCTTTTTACGACAGGCCGTAAGTGACGCTCCAGGCGGCGCGACAGCAGCTGGAGGGCGGAGGAGGCGGGTTAGTGTTTCCCCGGGCCGAATCGGGCTGTGGGGGGCGCGGGGCCTGAGCGGGGGGCCGCAGCTCCGGGCCTGCAGGGACAGCATGGGCGAAGGGGAGCGGGGCGGGGGAGGCCTCGGGCTGCGGAGGGCGGCGGCGGGTGGGTCTGAGGGGCTGGCGGGCTGGCGTCTCGGGTCCAGGCCGGGGATCTGACCCGTGGTTGCTGTCCCCCCGGAACCCACACAGCGCGGCCCGTCCTGTGCTCGCCATGAGGCCGCAGCAGGCGCCGGTGTTCGGGAAGGTGTTCATTCAGCGAGACTACAGCAGCGGCACCCGCTGTCAGTTCCAGACCAAGTTCCCGGCGGAGCTGGAAAACCGGGTAGGCACCTGCTCTGCGGCGGCGAAGGAGGGGGACTTGCCCAGGGCAGGGCAGGCGGTCTGGGTTGACACCCGGCTGCCCAGTGCCCCGGGGCTCTGGGCTCGGGCTGTCAGAGAAGGGGCGTTGGCCGCAGGTGTACGAAGAGGGTCCTTCAGCGGGACCTGGTGGTTGGAGCAGGAGGAACCATGCCAAGCCCCCCCGGGGGGTGATGACCTTGTCGAACTAACTCTGCGATGCCCAGCGCCGAGAATGGGTACCCAGCCATCTTCTTCCCTCTGGTGCCCACCGCCCCCACCTTTCCCCCGGGTTATTGACAGCAGTGATGAGGCACTAATTCCTCAGGCTCCAGGCCACCTCACTAAACATGTGAGCTATGTAGTCCTACCTCGTCACGCAAGAGGAATCTTCATCATCATCCTTGAGACTGGCGTTTTGTGGCCATTGTGCTGGCCGAACTGTTCCGGCAGAAAAGGATTTTATTAAGTGCTGTGCCAGGCAGTGCAGACAGGCCTTCTTGGAACCTGAAAAACATAGAGCGTGAGCTGGGCCTGGACAGGGAAATAGTAAGATTAGGAGGCCTTACACTTGCCACTCTCCAATTGCTGATCACTGGGAGCCCCCTGTGTTATGTTGGCTTGCATGTCAAAATTGTCATCAGGATGTAGGTCCTTTGGGCAACCCTACATACAGACATGCAAGAATGGGGTGATTGTATCTTATTTTAAAGGTATAATGAAGTAAGCCACCTGAATGTGTGTTTTCTTTTTTTTCTTTTTTTTTTTAAAGGAAGCTTTTATATATATATATATATATATATATATATATATATATATATATATATATATATTATTGATTTTTCACAGAGAGGAAGGGAGAGAGATAGAGAGCTAGAAACGTCGATGAGAGAGAAACATCGACCAGCTGCCTCTTGCACACCCCCTACTGGGGATGTGCCCGCAACCCAGGTACATGCCCTTGGCCGGAATCGAACCTGGGACCTTTCAGTCTGCAGACCGACGCTCTACCACTGAGCCAAACCGGTTTCGGCTCTTTTTCTTTCTTTTTTTAAATATATATTTCTTTATTGATTTCAGAGAGGAAGGGAAAGAGAGATAGAAACATCAATGATGAGAGAATCATTGATCGGCTGCCTCCTGCATGCCCCTTATTGGGCCCACAAACCTTTCAGTCCGCAGGCCGACGCTCTATCCACTGAGCCAAACCAGCTAGGGCTGAATGTGTGTGTTTTCTTGTGCCCACATCTGTTCAGCCACCCAAAGAGAAACTCTTTTGGTCTTGAGCCATGTTACCTTACATCAGTTTACTGTCCAGAAGTCAATTTCTGGTTAGATGGGAGCCCGTTTTGACAAGAGGGACTGATAAGTGATCAGACATGCTGTGGGTGTGGGGCTAAGAAATGCTGGTCATGAAGTAAGTGGGTGTAGGTGAGTCTGTACTAGAGAAATGTATAGAGCTGTCATTTAAAACCAGCTTGTAGCAAGGTAGGTGGTTTTACCTGATTGCCAAGGTTGGAAAATCAACAATAATCGAGTATAATGTCCTTTAGCTTGATTTATAACCTTGAGCAGGTTAGTGGGCCAAGTATGTTTCTTTAAATACAAATTAAAGATCAGACATGTCACATAAAGATGATGAGGTTAAGCTTATTTATGAAATGCCATATGAATGCTGTACTTTATTGTCACTAGGTTATGAGTTAACTCACCCTGACACTAGTAGTTTGAAAAGGTGGAAATTGAGCTAGTTGCCTACTGGCTAAAACTACTCAATGTTGTTCTTAAAATAATTTAACATTGCAGTCAGCATGTTTTACATGGAAGGACTTATGCGAAATGGTTCAAATGTTTTATTTTTAAGCTTGTTTTGGAAACTCTGACTTGTACTTTCAAATCAGAATGTAAGCTGTTTTGTTTTTGGTTGTGTGTTTTTTGTGTGTTTTTTTTTTCACCACACTTTAGATGTTACAAGATTCCTTTGTCAAACTTTGAACTCACAATTGAGCCCCATATATTTATGCATAATCAGACATTGGTCTTCCACTGTGTGTTTTATAGTTGGAATACAGAATCATAATATAATCACAGTATTCCACTGTTTCTTACAGGAAATTGATGTTTCTGAATTCTGGAGTCCATTTATTTCTTTGACTGCATACAGCCCAGAACTGCTTGTGATTCTGAGTGCTATATGGAGTGTTACACGGTGCTGTACAGTTGTGTCCTTTTTTTTCTTTTTTAATGTTTGGGTTAGAACACTAACTTATACTCTTTAAACTGCTTGAGAAAGCTTTGTTGTTGTTTTTTTTTCCCGTTTGAGATTAAATTTAAATTACAGGTTTAAATTTTCCTTGCTTGTTTGATGGAAAATTGAAAGGTTTCTCTCTTTGTTTCTCAACTAACCCTAGAAATTATACTGATTGCTCTGCCACTGAGGCCAGTTTTTCCTTTTGTGAGAACATTACACTTGGCAACTTAATAGAGGAAGAAATTAATGCACAAGTGTTTTGTGTTACTTTAAAGCATTAAAAACACACACATTTGTGCTCTTTAATTTGGGAGTTAGGATGAATTCTGTCTGTTAAAAAGTTTACTTTATCTATTGCCTGTTCAAATGTAATACTTTGATGCCTAAATGCTTTGTTGCCAGGACAGTTCTTTAAAGGAGGCTTTATTATCACTTTACCCAAAATATAGACATTTTAGGCACCTTGGTCTGGGAAAAAGAGAAATGATCCGAGGCCGGTTTGGCTCAGTAGATAGAGCGTCTGTCTGCGGACTGAAGGGTCCTGGGTTTGATTCTGGTCAAGGGCATGTACATTGGTTGTGGGCACATCCCCGGTGGGGGCTGTGCAGGAGGCTGCTGATCGATATTTCTCTCTCATCGGTGTTTCAGACTCTCTATCCCTCTCCCTTCTTCTCTGTAAAAAATCAATAAAAAATATATTGATTTTTATAAGTGAATGAACTATAAATGAAGCATTTGTTCCCCTATATATACCTTAAAAAATATAACTCTACATTTGACCAGTAGAAATTACCTGTGACTTGTGGTTGCTTTAAGCTTCAGTACCATGCTTTTTATCACCTAGTTTAAGAAACAAAAATTCTGGGAAAATGATGAGCCTGATTCCTATTTCCATTATGGCTTTCAATATTTACTGATATAAATTTATATTTGGTTCCAACCTCACATATCAGATATTGATATAGCTTCTCTACCAATGTCCAGGTAACCAGGGGAGACCACTGGCAGCTTTTCATAGTGCCTGAAGAGAAGTGGAAATACCTACATTTGTTCTCCTGGGGCCTTTGCATGTTAAGTGTGCCCTTTGCCTTTCCTGCTGCCTCCCATGGTTTTTACTCTTTCCTCCTTTTTAAAAATAACCTTCCCAAGAAATTCTTGACTGTTTTTTTTTTTAATCTTTTTGTTTTAACTTTTTTTAAAATCCTTCATTTATTTTTATTTTTTTAATGATCTATGATTTGCTTCCATCCTACAAAAGCATTGCAGTCTTGGAATAACTTTTAAGAGTTAGTGTTGCTGATATGATTAGTGATTAGTGATTCTGATCTGAAAGAGACATCCCATGGCTTTGAATTATATTATGTCCAAAGAAATGTAAATAATTCAAATGACTTTTTTATCCAGTCATAACAAGCACAAGTGATTGAAATTATTTAGATTTTTGCAGATTTACTGATGGACAAAACTGGAGGCATTAACTTAGGCATAATTAGGTGAACAGTTTATCTTTAATATTTGTTCATTGAGCAGTTCTCCCAAGTCTGTTTTCAGGGAATGAGAACTCTAGCATAGGTTCAGATCGGTTCTGCACGTGACCATTCTTGACAAACCATGTCTTCAAGTAGTTTGAGCTCAGTGAAGGGTTACTGCTCTGGCTCTCAGTACCATCGGCACCCACCCAAACCTTGTCAGAAACTCTAATATTCTCGGAAAGTAAAAGTAGCTCCTTTTGAAAAACAGGTAGAGCCACCACCATTTTAAAGTTTATATTAAACTTTTTCATGTTTTTGGCTCATTGTTTCCCCATAGGACAAAACAATGATTATAGCTGCCTCTAATCTAAACCGTTTTAATAGCTTAAAGGTGATGATCATAATTTTAAAAATTATGTTCTTGGAAATAATTTGTCTCAAACTATGATATTGAGGTTCTTTGACTTCTATTAGTCTATTTTTATATAGACTTCATGAAAGAATTTATATGTAGGTAGTTCCTAGTTTTAGGAATAAAGAAGGCCTAAAGTAAGGACAGACTAATTGTACTTTTGTTACCAAGAATGATAGTATCAGATGAAATACTCTACTAATGGCCCTTGAAAGTTCTAGCATAAAGTATTAAGATTTAAAAATGTAGAAAGCACTGTTAGAAAATAAAGTGATACTGGAAGAAGGAAGTAAAAGCAGATGATTAGAGTGGGAAGTGAATGACAATAGTATTGGTATAAATGTAAGATGATAGTGTCACTGAATAGGAGGTGATAGGAATGGCTTGGTGTGAG